TCGTAGTCGTCGTAGTAGTAGTAGTAGTAGTAGTAGTAGTAGTAGCAGTAGCAGTAGTAGTAGTAGTAGTAGTAGTAGCAGTGGTCGTATTATTATTATTCGTAGTAGTAGTAGGAGTAGTAGCAGTAGCAGTAGTAGTAGTAGTAGTAGTAGTAGTAGTAGTTATAGTAGTAGTACTACTATGACTACTACTACTAGTAATAAGGGTAGTAGTAGTCGTAGTAGTCCTAGTGGTAGTCGTAGTGGTAATCGTAGTACTACTACGACTTGTACTAATAATAGCCGTAGTCGTAGTCGTAGTCGTCGTAGTAGTAGTAGTAGTAGTAGTAGTAGTAGAAGTAGTAGTAGTAGTAGTAGTAGTAGCAGTAGTAGTAGTAGTAGTAGTAGCAGTGGTCGTATTATTATTATTATTAGTAGTAGTAGTAGTAGGAGTAGGAGTAGTGGTGGTGGTGGTAGTAGTAGTAGTAGTAGTAGTAGTGGTAGTAGTAGTAGTAGTAGTAGTACTAGTAGTAGTAATAGTAGTAGTAGTAGTAGTAGTAGTAGTAGTAGTAGTAGTAGTAGTAGTAGTAGTAGTAGTAGTGTAGTAGCGATAGTTGTGATAGGAGGGAGAGGAGGAGGAGGAGGAGGAGCCCCTTTTTTACACGACGAGTGAGCCCATAGCCACTGGGAAGCGGTGCGGTACAATGAGCGGCGAGCTGTCGCAGGACCACCGAAAGATCCTATACTATGCTCCACCAGGAGGAGGAGGAGGAGGAGGAGGAGGAGGAGGAGTAGGAGGAGTCGCACCGCCGAAAGGGGGAGAGGAGGAAGGTCTCGAGTCCAGCGGCGGCGGGGCGCGGGGGCCGCCCTCGTCGATCAGCCGGTCGCCGATCGCGCCGTCGCATGCGGCGGGGAGGGGCGCGGCTTAAACCAGCCAGGGAGAAAGAAGTTAGAGCAGGAGGAACAAAGCATCGCCCCAGTTTGGCCTGGTTTGGGCACGGTTTCGCTTGAAACGTTCTCACAAGTTGCCTGGTTTGGCCCTGGTTTGGCCACGGTTTTGCTTGAGACGTCTTGGTTTGGCTTGGTTTGGGCCCGGTTTCGCCTGAGACTGGGTTGCCCTGATTTGGGCCTGGTTTCGCCTGAAACGTCTTCGCAATTTGCTTGGTTTGGCCCTGGTTTGGCGCGTTTTGGGCACGGTTCTGCCTGAGACGTCCTTGCAATGTGCCTGGTTTGTGTTGATATTTCGGTTTCGCCTGATACGTCCTCACGCCGTGGATGATTTGGTAAATTCGGGGGCGTCCTTCGCTTGGACGTCTTCCTGGGTGGGTGGCAGTGTCGGCGGGCTGTGGACAAGCGTCGTTCGGCCTAGTTGGGCGGCGCGCCCCGCCTGAGACATCCTTACAATTCGCCTGGTGTGGGCCCCGGTCCCTGGTTTGGCCTGGTTTGGCCACGGTTTTGCTTGAGACGTTCTCACAATCTGCCTGGCTTGGCCTGGTTTGGGCACAGTTTCGCCTGAGACGTCCTCAAAATTTGCTTGGTTTGGCTTGGTTTGGGCCCGGTTTCGCCTGATTTGCCTGGTTTTGGCCCTGGTTTGAACGTGGTTTCACCTAAGACGTCCTCACAATTGGCCTGGTTTGGCCACGGTTTTGCTTGAGACGTCCTCGCAATGTGCCTGGTTTGTGTTGGTGTTCGTTGAATCTCGCCTGATACGTCCTCACGCCGAGGATGATGTGGCAAATTCGGGGGCAGCCTTCGCGTGGAAGTCCTTCTGGGTTGGGGGCAGTGTCGGCGAGGCTGTGGACAAGCGCCGCTTGCAGGGTCTTTGTTTGCACCGCCCATGGTTCGACCTGGCACCTTGTTGTCGTCGTCGTCGTCGTCGTCAAATTCATCGTCATCGTCGTGGTGGTCGTCGTCGCCGGGGCTACACACGTGGTGGGCAGAAACATTCGTGACGATATGGCCCTACGGTTGTGCGACCCGTATAGCAGGCGAAGCGAGCATGGACATTGGAAGCGCAGTGTGTTCGGCCACTGTATCACATAGTGCAACCATCGATCGCAGACTTCCTGCTGCTATGCGGCATTGGACCATGTGGCAGCGTTAGGATAAAACCGTTCCAAGCCTGTAGTATCAATATTCGTAGAAAAGTAGCGCTAAACATAGTAGCATAGTCGTAGTAGTATGCACAGGGAGCGCCGCAACATGCAAACACATCTCATATCACGCGTCTACTACACGTGTACGGCGCTAAGGTGACGACGCTACAAAGGAATGCGAAAAGTAACCTAAACAGGAGCCCAACAACCCGACAGGAGCCCAAGACAGCCCCAAAGCAGCCTATCATAGACGAGCGCGTTCCACTACTCGCAAACTAGCTACTCGCAAATGGCCTGGATCCGCCACAGGGGGTCTACGATAAAAAACATCTAATCAAACATGTGTTTTTTGTTGGATGTTTGCGAGTAGGTCCTTTGCGAGTAGTGGAACGCGCTCGGCGATATCTCGGGAGCGGCCAAGAGGGGGGTGTCCGAGAGGGGGGGGTGCAAATCATGACCGGCGGCATGTGCGCGGCCCAGCGGGGAGGCCAGGGACGTAATGAAATAAGAAGAGGCGCCATGAAATCAGGGGAAATATCATGGCCCCCGCCATGATGTCCACCCCCCCCTAGTCATCACCCCCCTCTTTTCCGCCCCCGACGCCCGGGGGGGCCTCCTCATCATTCTCCTCATCATCCTCCCCATCCTCATCATCTTCATCCTCGTCCTCATCCTCATCCTCGCCCTCCTCCTCATCCTCGTCCTCACCCTCCCGGGGGGCCGCGCGCTCGCGAGAGAGGACGTCGGCGGCAAGGACCGACGTCCGACGACGGGCGACCGCAGCAGCTCTCTCAGGAGACCCTGCAGGGAAGGCTCCCGCCAGGGCTCCGCGGAGGGTCTTCTCGGGTCGGGCGAAAGGGGGGGATAGCAAAGGGGGGGTTTGAGAATCAGCTCACGTAGCTGATTTTCCCGGCGCCTCCCGGCGCCGGAGGCGACTATGTATCGAGGAATGGGCCCCTCGGTGGGGCCGAAACCAGCTGCATGCAGCAAATTTCGTAACCCCCCTTTCCCCATCCCCCCCTTTCGCCCGGCCCGATCTTCAGAGGCTGTCTCACTTGTCGTGACAGTCTCAAGGGAAGCAGGAGTTCTGCCGGGGAACGAACCCTTCTGCCGGGGAACGAACCTGCGGCTTGGGAAGTGGTCGCCTGAGATCGGGGGACAACAAATCTACCGCGCTTTTGACCACCCTCGCTTCCAAGAGATACCAAGCGATGCCAAACTACGGCCTGTACTGGTCAGGCCGCTTGACGAGGAGGCGCGTGGTATCACTTGGTTTTTCCTGGAAGCGAAAGCGGGGTAGGTAATTCACGCTCTGATCAGAACGAACCCTTCTGCCAGGGAGCGAACCTCTCTGCCAGGGCATCTTACATTATCCGCGTGGCTGACCTTTGTCCACGTCCTCTTCCTTGCTCTCCTCGTCCTCCGCGTCGTCGTTCGTCCTCGTGTGCTGCCTCCACCCACGTGGCTATATCCCTTTCCGTCGCCCCTAACCCTTAGGCTTGTAGAACCCACCCCAACGGATACGACTACAATTGCGACTAGGATCCTCCTCCTCCTCGTGTCACTCCTACGGAGAAGGCGGAGGAAAAGGAGGAAGGGAGGAGGAGGAGGAGATTTCAGGACCACTCCTATCATTACCTCCGATCGACACTGAAGACCTTAAGCGGGTATCCCTACTTCTCGTCCCCCTCCTCTTGCGCGTGGCCGACAGACGGCTCCCTGGCCCGGCCTGGCGAGTCCCGACCGCCTCCCCGAGGAGCGCTGGCGGCCCCCCCCCCCCGAGGCCCGACTGGCCAAGGCCGCGGCCGTCCGGCGTCGGGGCCAGGGAGATGGCGCGGCAGCCTGCGGGGCGGGCGCCGCCCCGAGGGGCCGCATGGGCGAGCAGCGACTGCTCTGGAGACCTCCTGGCTGGGATCGGAGCGGCTGGGGTCGGAGGATCGCACATCGACAATGCGTCGCCGACGCATCGTCGACGCATCGCGACGTCGGTGACGCATCTGCGACGTATTGGCGACGTCGGCGTGGAGGAAATCTTGCTCAGCATCGTTGATGCATCGCCGATGCGGCGCGATCCTCCGACCTCATCTACTCCGACCCCGTCTAAGAAACCTAGATGTTTGCGATCAATGTTTCTACTGCAAGCTCGTGCCATGTCGACTTCGACGTTGGTTCCTGACACCGCGGGGATCCTTCGACCTTGGATAGAACATCGTTCCATATCCGCCGATCCGGCGTGTGAGTTTAAGAAGTCTAAGCTGAAGCTCTGCTTCACCATGAGCTTTAGCTCTGCTTGGGAGGGGGGGAGGGGGGGGGACCTCATTAACTGACGAATTCAGTGCTCGGCACCTCCCCCACCTACCAGCCCCCCCCCCCGACTTCGCGCCCCCCCCCCCCCCCCAGAGTATTGCTCTGCAAGGGTGAAGGCAGGTGAGGGGGGGGGGCTCTGCAAGGGGGTGGGCTGCAAAGCTCAGGCGGGAGCGGGAGCTGCAGGGAAAGGCGGGAGGGTCCGCTTTGCAGATGGGCGCTCTGCAAGGAGAGGGGGAAGGGGGGGAGGGACAGGAGACAGGCATCCATTAGGACCCTGACCCAAAACCAAGACACGGTGGCGGAGCGCCGTCGTCGTCGTCGTCGTCATCGTCGTCGTCGCCGTCGTCCTCGTCGACGCTCCCCGCCGCCGCCGCCGCCGCCTGCCGCAGCAGGCGCCAGCGCCGGCCCAGAAAAGAAAGTCGTCTCTCCCGCCGCTGCCGCCAGCCGCCGCCGACGCAGGCGCAGGCCCGAGGATAAGTAGGGGGAAGGGGGGGAAGGGGGGTTTGCCCCCTTGGGGGGGGGGTTCGAACCCCTCCCCCTCCATCCAAGGAGGGGGGCGGGGTCCGGTTCCAACCCCCCCCCTCCTCCAAGCGACCACAGAACGTGTTTTTTTCCTAGCTCTGGATCCTGGGATGCTAAGGGCGGCTGCGACAACTGTGGCCATACCACCACCTGTAGGACTATATGGCGCACCTGCTGGACTTCCTGATGCATGTGATGGGGATCTTGAGGTTCCCCCTCCACCTGCAGCGATATGGACGTGTGACCTGGAGAAATCACATTAGTCAATAGGCGGGATGATCCTCGATACTCGTCGAGCAATTCTGGCCCACCAGCGGTTCTCTAAGGATGGGGGGCACGCGTGTAGGTTTGTGGAGCACACCGTCACGGTCACGAACGAATGTATCTTCTGCAGGCAGACGCTTTGAACAAGAAGGATTGTACAGGAACGCGCGGTACAGGCAGCCTAAGGAGCAAGATGCCCACCGAATGTACCAGCATTCCACCACCCCGCTCTGGGACCAGAGCGTTTGTCTTGTCTTTATGGCAGAGCTGACTGCGACGTTGGTCTTTAGAGGCATGGGGTGCAAACGTTATTCCGACTGCGCATGTGGACGGTAGGAACCGTGTCCAGATCGAGCTGCGCTGCACCTGCGGCTCAGATCGCAGGCGCCCCGACGCCCGCTCAGACTGCGAAAAAACGATGTTCCGCCTGGGGGCGGCTGCGGCGGCTGCGGGGAGATCTCTTTCGCACGGAGGAGGAGACGTGTGAGGGAAGGGTTGGCGGGTTGGCCGAAGGGCCGATCCCTTCCCGAGTAGCCGACGGTGTAGGCGGTGACGACGAATGGCGGACGACGTACCTAGCCACACCTTGCGAGCCGAAAGGGGCTGCAGCACAGGAGCGGGTGGGAAAGGCCAGAGGGTCACTCACAGGGGAAAGGTCGAGATGGGGTCGCTCTGGCTCGGCAGCCGCGTACCGCCAACAGGATGGGGAGGGTGGGGGCGCAAGGGCGGCCAAAAACCAAGGCTGCCCAGGACGCGGCGAACCACAGAGGCAAGGCGCAGGAGAAGGAGTTTGGCAGCAGCAGCAGCCGGTACATCGCGGAGGAGGGTAGCAGGCAATCCAGATGAAGTGGGCAAGTCACACGGCCAACCCGGTTTCATGTTTTTTGATGCAAGGGCCTTGGAATGCCATGTCGACGCGTTGCGAGCGGGGCGCGGCCAGCGAAAGCGACCAAGGGTGGGCCGAAAGGGGCAATGATGCAAGGAGAACCTTAGAACATCGCTCATCCATCCTTACTCTGCGGGTTGACTGCACGGTATTCGAGCGGACACGCTGGACAAGCTGCCCGCGATGAACGCGCAGATGGTGGCCAAGCTGACGCCAGTGATCATGGGAGCGGTGCTAGGTAGGCAACTCGCTCACAATAAGGATGATGATGGCGGCAGAGTTTGCGACGACCACGATGGAGGAGGAGATGATCTTGGCGAAGGCGGGATGCCCGGCAGGGCGTGCGCTTGCGATGCAGGCGGCGATGCTACGAGCAAAGCATCACGAGGACAAGAGCGAGCCATTGCCGGAGGTGGTGATGGAACAGCGTGCGTGCAGAAATTCCTGGTCGTGGCCACGAAGAGTGTCAGCCGCAGGAGAAGCAGTGGGAGACCGCAACGCGAAGGACTGGGCAGAGCAGGAGCACCGCCTGGACCAGGTGCAGTCGATCGCCGACCTCACCATGCTCGCCGAAGGGTGCAGGATTAGAGACCTCGAGTAGATGGGGTCGGTGGATCGCGCCGCATAGACGATACATCGGCGATGCATCGGCAATGCCAGCGGTGCATCGGCGACGTCGACGTGAAGCCAGACGGGATCCACATCGAGCCGCATCGCCGATACATCGGCGATGCGGCGCGATCCTCCGACCCCGTCTACTCGGACCCCATCTAGGAGGCCTAGAAGGATCTCGAACGCGCCAAGACGGTGCACTCCCTGGGAGGTTTCCGCAGATGTCGAGGGTGATCCAGTCTTGCATTGTTCGGCTCGGATGCGAAAAGCGTCCGGGCGTGGCCCCAAGGTCGCACACGGAAAGGGTGCTGCAGCTAGCCTTGGACGAGTGCGAGATGTGAAAAGGCATGGAGTCAGTGCGGCAAAACCCGACGAAGCTCCAGCGGTGTGGAACGCATCGCGAGCGGCGGGCGTCAGTGCGCACAATCCCGAGGACCCCCCCATAAAGGGGAACACCTCGGGTTCAATGTCGTCTGCGTATTTTGCTCGGACCCGCCATCCCGGTCTGTGACGTGCAGGACGATGTGGGCATCGTGCGCGGTGAGATGGGAAGTGAACAGAACATGCTGGAAGAGGCAGTCAAGAATATCTTGGTCTCGACAACGACGCCGCCGATCGCGGTCACTCCAATGATGGGGGATGGATCGGTACCCTTGCCGACTACGCCTAACTTGTCTACGTCGGCGACCGCGAGTGCTCCAACGACGGAAAGTGGGCAACCTTGCCTTCTACGACCTCCTTGTCTACCTCGGTGGCCGCCTGTGCTCCTACGACGGGGAGTGAATAGGGAACCTTGCCTGCTATGCCCTCCTGGTCTACTCTGGGGACCACGCGTGATTCTAAGACGGGGAGAGGGTTGGGAACCAAGAGTGCCCCGGCGGCGAGGACGGGTGAGGCCACCCGTGCTGCTTGCCGTCCCTGTCCTCAGGCAACCACCGCCTCCGAACTCCCTTTTTCGAGACCTCCACCTCCTCCTTCCAGTAGCTTCGATGTTTGCTTCTGACCGGCTGTTTTCTGGTTCCTGGGCCCCTCGGGGCCAGTATTATAGTTTTGGAGGTCGCTCGTCCGAACTGTGGTCGAAAGAGGACAACTCGGGACTCTCACCCCCTGGAGGGAAACGTCCTTCTCTCGCTTCCATAGCGCATGACAGGTCGTACAGTGATGATATTATGTTCGCAAGGTGTTGATTGGTTTTTATTCGACTCGGACCGATGCCGCCTCGCCGGCGCCGCCTCCTCCTCCTCCTCCTCCTCCCTCCTCCTCCTCCTCCTCCTCCTGCTCCTGCTCCTCCTCCTCCTAATCATCCTAATCCCTCTCATCCTCCTCCTCCTCCTCCTCCTCCTCCTCCTCCTCCTCCTCCTCCTCCTCCTCCTCCTCCCCTCCTTCATCTCCTCCTCCTCCCTCTCCTCCTCCTCCTCCCTCTCTTCCTCCTCCTCCTCCTCCTCCTCCTCCTCCTCCGCCTCCTCCTCGGCGGCCGAGTGTCTGCCGCGCGCCGAAAGCTCTTTGAATGGGAGCCGGCAGACCTCTCCCCCCTGGGAGTGGCCGTTGCCTCAGACGGCCGGCTACCCCTGTGGGAGCCGCCCTCTTTGCGGGGCGGTGGATAAACACCACGGGATGCTCGGACGTCTATTTCCAGTGCATGTGTCGGCTTCGTGCGTGAAATCTTTTGCTCGATGGTCCAGGATGGTCCTCCATGGTTCTCGCCGAGAGAACAATGCACACGTCCGAGCGACGTCAGGGGGCGGCCAGAGAAGAGCTCATACAGTCGGGGCGTTGACCTAAGGAACCCTAAGTAAGGAACGAGGCCCCTTTTCTCCATCAGTTAAACTTCGATTTACCATCGAAAACACAAGGAACACCTGAGGCAAGCTGTGAAACAATCAAGGAACACGGAGCCCCTCCCCAACGAAAAGGTTTCCTTCTTCAGCGCCCCGACTGTAGTCCCACGTGACGCCGCGGAGCGGCACGCACGCTCCAGCCGCCCTGGGACGGCCGCAACCCTCGCGGCGGCAAGCCCTGCCTAAGCTGCCGTGCTTCGTCCACGGAGCGAGGGTCGGTCGACTGGGCGGAAGGGAACGCCGTGCTCCTCGAGGAAGAAAAAGCGGCATACATGTGAGCTTTGGGAGGTCAGCCCTCGCGGCGGAAAGCCCTGCCTGATCTGCCGTGCTTCGTCCACGGAGCGAGGGTTGGTCGACTTGGCGGAAGGGAGCGCCGTGCTCCTAGAGGAATATAAAGCGGCACACGTGTGAGCTTCCGGAGGTCCGCGCGGGCTCCTTGGATCTGTGAGGACCGCCGACATCGATCTGTACGCAGCTGTTTCTTCTTCGAGCTCCGCACAGCGCCGTCTGGGGCCCATCCACAAGCGTGGAGCTTCGCGCTCCACTCAAAATCTGACAGTCGTGGCAGCACTGATATGCCGCCCTGCCCGGCGGCCCCAAACACCACCGCGGCACGGACCATCTACCCTGGCGAAGCGGTACAAACCTGCGCCGACCCTGGCCCGGCCCATCATGGGCCCGCTGATCGGTGTGTACGCCCTCCTGGCTTGGCCGTGGGGCCCCAAATGGGCCTGGCCGAGATCGGCGCAAGTGTGCCAGCCGGCAGCCCTCCGAGGTCCACTGAGGGAGAGTCGCACTTGAATCGCACCTGAGACGAACTAGAATCGAGCTAGATTCGAGCGGATCCGCTACATGGGCCCCAGGTAGGAGCCCACAACCGTTAGTACACGCGAGCCAGGTCTTGGCATTATGCAATACAAGGTCCCAAAAAATCTCGACCCTTCCCCTGGGGCCGGCTTTTGTGCAAATCATGACCGGCGGCATGTGCGCGGCCCAGCGGGGGGGCCAGGGACGTAATGGAATAAGAAGAGACGCCATGAAATCTGGAGAAATATCATGGCCCCCGCCATGATATCCACACCCCCCTAGTCATCGCCCCCCTCTTTGCCGCCCCCGATTCATACCGGGCTGATTTGTGATGGTCCCGGGGGACAGGGAGAAGAAACAAACCTTGGAGGAGGGCACGCTCGCTGGACCCAGGGCGCGAGAATCGGGGGGGACGAAAGGGTAGGACAGCAAAGGGCAGTGTAGAGAATCGGCCCACGCAGCTGATTTTCCCGGCGCCAACCAGCTCCGGCAGCGGTCATGTATCGAGGAATGGGCTCTTGCATGCAGCAGATTTCGTAGCCCCCCCCCTTTCCCCACCCCCCCCCCCTCTCGTCCGACCCGGGAACATTTCCGGGACAGACATCAACGTAACTGACTGCAGCTGAGCGGCCGGGCACGCTGCGAGGAGGGCAGCCTGACTGCTCCGCGAAGCTGGGCAGGGAGGCGCCCTGCGCGCAGCCGCGGCGCCCGGCGGGCCGCTCACCCTCGCCTGGCCGCCTCTCTCCCGGCAGCGCGGGGCCGCCTCTAGACGAGCGCGTTCCACTACTCGCAAAGTAGCTACTCGCAAATGGCGTGGATCAAACCCAGGGGATTCACGATATTTTACACAGAGGCATACGCATGGTTTTTCGGACGTTTGCGAGTAGGCACTTTGCGAGTAGTGGAACGCGCTCGGTGGGCCTCCCCCAGCAACCCCGCATCGTCACAAAAAGCTAGAAATCTTGCTGGGGGGGCCTTTGACCGTGTTCGGCCTCTGGGGGCCGAACGCTCCCCCTCGGCAGCCCGAAAACTGACCGAACGTAGCCCTCAACAGCCCTCTCCCGCCCCAGCCCCCGCCGCGTGACTGGGGAACGAGACGCGCGGCGTCTTGATTTGTGCATTACGCGGTTCCCCGAAATCCCGACCCATCCCCAGGGCCAATTTGGTTTCCCGCATCGTTTTGCTAACGGTCCCGAGGCCGGTTAAGGGCCCCAAAGCGCAGAAAACAGCGAAACGCCTCCCGTCGTGCTTTTCTAACAACGCGAGGGGGCCTGGGTTGGGAGTCGATGTGTCGAGTCCTGAACCTATTCCCCCCCCCCTCCCCCTCCTGGCAGGGGTGGGCGGGGCGCCTTCCCAGTCCCGCGGGGGCGGATGAGGGGGAGGGGGAGGGGGGGGGAGGGGGAGGAGGAGGGGGAGGGGGAGGGGGAGGGGGAGGGGGAGGGGGAGGAGGAGGAGGGAGGGGGAGGGGGAGGGGGAGGAAGCGCTGCAGCAAGCACGTTCTCCCCAGACACGCGGCAGGGCTCGAGCGAAGCCATGGTTTTCGTCTTCGTGTTGTTGTCGTGCTCCCTCGTTTCGCCCCCTCTGCGAAACGAGATCGAAACGAAAACGGCCCAGCAACTCGCCAAAACAGCGTTTAGGTCGACCTCTGGCACGTTCCCGAGACGTGCGAGGCCTTCATCTGTTCAATACATTGGCTTTGTCTTGGGGGCCTGCGCTATTGGGGGGGTAGTTTAGGGGCTGGCTCACGAACAATCTTTTATTTCGCTTCCACGGCCTGCCGCACGCAGCGTTTGCCGCAATTGATTTGCATCTCGGCCCAGCTACCACTCATTATATCAGAGGACATTCGCAAATCGCAAACCGCCAATAACCGATGAATGGACGACTGAGGTAGCGGGCTTACGTTCAAAGCGAGCGCACTCACATAACGGCTTGCCAGGAAACTTCGGGGCTGCGCACGCGCGGCAATAGGCGTGCGAATTTCCCTGCGTCGTTCGTGCGCCAACTCGTACACCGACCCCCCCATCGCTTTTAACATGGATGTTGCTTCCCACGCGTTGCCCATGCTCCCGGGCGCATCGGGGCATCTAGGGCGCGATCGGAATCGCGCTGGCGCGTCGTCGGGGCGACTCGAGGTGACCCCTGGAGCCGCCTGAGGTCATATCGGCTGTCTTTGGAGACGTTTTGGGCGCATCGGACATCTGCGCGGCCCGAGCCCCCTGGCGACACGAGCAGCTATACTTGTACAAGACCACATGCTGCGACGCAAGCGAAACTCCGACATGTAAGGACTAGATGCAGGCATGCCATCAAACCCAGAACACACGCATGTTCCCGCTGCAAGATACCAACATGCAATGCAAATGCATACTGCGTGAAAGCGAACGCTACGCACATGCACATCCCCTCCCTCCCCCAAGTCAGACCGGATATCCTGGGAGAACGATTCCTCGGCCACGCGCGAACGCAGCGCACGTTCACAAACTACGCAGGTTGCAAGACCTGGCGGTGCCTGTCAGCGCCGCCCAGCTGGCCAACAAAGGAACGGGCTGGTGCAACGCTTGCGCGCGTCATTTTTCCAGGAACGCCACTCGCAACCGAGCGGGCTTGTGGGGGCGCGCAACAATACCGTGCAATGAGCTTGCCTGACGCCTTATGTGCCCTGGTTGACCACAAGCAGTATATCAGAGTTGGGTTTGGAAGCCATACTGCGAGGACGATACAAGGCATGGCTTGGCTGGAATGCACTAGGCCTGGGCCTGACCCCAACAAGAGCGCTCGCGCATGGCCAGCATGGAGCAGGCCCCAATCGCGAGCCACGCAGCGACCGAAGGTCTTCACCGTCCACGTCGTGGTTGCTCAGCAAAAAGCGCTGTCGCCATTCGCGCCGCCGCGCACATTTGCTCACCTCGCGGGGTAGCGCGCGCAACACGTGACTCCATTTATCTCGGCGTCGGCCGAGCGAAGTGCTGCGAATTGCCATGCGCAGCCCTCCGTCCTCGCTCGGAGCGCGAGCGACTTTTTCTAACTGCAACAACGAAGCTGCTTGCTTGTCTCGGCGCACGCCGAGCGCCTTTTTCTCCTGTATCCAACAACCAGCCAGGGGCTCCTTGAATGGGCGGCAGCCGAACGTTTGCGGCGACGTACAATCCGCTGCCCTCTCTCGCGAGGAGCGCGAAGCTTGTTCTCGGCGTCAGCCGTTTTTTGGGCGAGCATCACTTGCCAGCGACCCCCCCTTCCCTTCGCGCGGCCGAGCGATTCCTGCCAATTGGAACTAGTTGCGCTCGTATCTCGCGCGGAGCGCGAGATGCTCCTACAAGGGTGCCATTTGGCTCGGTGCGAGCCCAAGTATTTTGTGAACTCCAACAACCAAGGGGGCCATGGCGCAAGTCTGGAAAGCGCTGGGCCAACCTAGGCGCAAGGGTCTGCGAGGACCCGGGGCCGGCAAATCGCACGGTTTCCCGCAGGTCGCACCGGGCCCGCAAACCCGACATGCCACATGGGCCCCGCAGGCCCTACAGGTCGCACAAGCCCCACGGGACCTATACGTCGCACAAGCCCCACGGTTCCCACATGTCGCACAAGCCCCACGGGCCCCCACTTATCCCACAAGCCCCGCAGACCGCGGCGCGCGTGGGTCGGGGGCCCAGGCGCGCGCGGCCAGGCACCCGTGGCGCGCGAGGCTCGGGGCCTGCGACGCTCTGAACCGACCGAAGCTCAAGGGGCTCGCGGAGCTCGGGATCGACGAGGCTGCACGGTCTGCGAGGGCACGCCCTCGCTAGGCGCCACCAGTAATGCGCGCGGGCGGGCGCGGCATGGCGCCCGCGGCGTGCGCGGGCGGGCGCGGCCGAGCACCCGCGGCCCGCGCGCGCGGGCGCAGCCAGGTACTTGCGGCCTGCGGGCGCGCGCAGCCAGGCGCGCGCGCGCAATGCACGGGCGGGCGCGACCAGGCACCCGCGGACCGCGTGGGCGGGCGCAGGCAGGCACCCGCGGCAGATGCGCCAGGGCGCGCCCGGGCGCGCATAGGCGGTGCTGCGGGTGGCCGCAGCCACCCGTACGGTTCCCACGCTGACCCCCGCGCCCCCCCCCCCGGTGGCTCGACGCAGCCGCCCGCCCCGCAGGGCGGGTGGTGGGGGGAAACAGCTGTCAAGGCCCCCCCGGACACTCGGAGGTTGTTTCTAAAGTGCGTCCTAGCGCTCGAGCACGACAAGCGTAGACGCGAAAATGACTTGTGCGTTTTCTCGAAAGTGTGCCCGCGTTCGAAATCGCATTCTGCCTTTGCGGGCATGAGTGTCTCGGCGAGCGAGGTGGACTTTTGTTTTCCGGGCATGAGTGTCTCGGCGAGCGAGGTGGACTTTGTTTTCTTCGACGTCGCAGTTTCGGAGGAAAAATGAAGCGTGCGTCGCAGTTTCGGAGGAAAAATGAAACGTACGTCGCAGCTTCGAGCCCGAATGGCGACGTCGCAGTTTCGGCCTCAAAAAAAAAGTTGGGCGCGCGAGGTGTCTCGAGTGTCCTGAGGGGCTTTTTTTCCTGTGCGCGGAATGTCCGGCGCCAGGAAAATGAATTTTACTCCTATGCGTTGCACGACGAAGCCCTCTCGAGACTCCTGTGGTTCCCCCGTCCAGGGCGTTCGAACGCGCGCGGACAAACGCGCCCTCTCGTTGGCCGCGACAGGCCGCAGCAGGCCGCACGAGGCCGCGCGCCCGTGCGCGATGCCAACTGCACCGCCGTCCCTCCGCTTCGCGCGCTGCACGCCAGCGGAGCATGCGCGACCCGCGGCGCCTCCTCGGCCGGCGTCAACACGGCATCTCCAGCCAGTTCGCACGCCCCCTGGCGAACCAGTCGAACCCGCCATCCACGGGGCCGCCTCGCTCGCGGCGGCCCCGATGCGGGGGCGTGCTTTCGACTGCGCGCGACCGAAGCACAGCTCCTGGACACCGAACCATCACGCCGCCATGGGTCCAGAAAAGAAGCGTGGGAATGCTCTCGCTCGCGGCGCGCGCGCCTCGCCGTGTCTTCGCGCGCGCCAAGCCGTCTACGCAGTTCGCGCCGTCGTTGCCATTGGCCGCGCGCTCGAGGCCACCCGCGCGGCGCGCGGCATCTTCGGCGCATTTTCCAGGCGATGCGCGGCTTGAACGCGTCGCGGCGACGCCCAGAAGTCGTCGCGCGCGCCGCCGCGCGCGCGCGACTGCGCGTCGCGCATTTCGCCGCGCGGTTGGCTTAGGACAACAGCGCGCTAAATCGAAAATGGGAATTGAACGCGCGCCAAATGCCAATGTCAGTCCCCAGACCCGCGCGGCGAACTCTTGATTTGGGAACCGCGGACCTCGCTGCGCGGTCGACGCCGCGCGCGCGTTGCTCCTCGTGCCGGATTGAAAACGCCTCGCGCCCAGCTGACATCCAGGATCGCAAACCTGGGCGCCGGTTGTGCTTCCAAGCCAAGTTGGCAACTTGACCGCGCCGACAACGCAGCGCTTGCCATGGAAACGCCGCCAAGCGCGTTGCACCGTGCTTCTCTTGGCGAAACTGCGAAAACACACACACACACGCACACACACACACACTTAAAATTGCGAGTCGGGGCCGCGCTCGTTAAAGGCGTACTTCGGTCACCAGACAACCGAACTTCTTCATTCCTGCGAGGCAAACCTTGTCATGCACGCGCCGCCACGCGCGCCCTCTGTGCACT